ATGAATACATCTGAGGACGTTCAGGAAAGTGAGGAATGTCTTCAGATGCTCTATCACATATTCATTAGTCGTGTGAAGCCGCTGGACTTGTTTCCTGTAAGGCCTGGACTGTAGATAACTTTGACGTATGTGAGCGGTACCAGTGCAGCATAAATAACTGGAACGTTACGGCGGCGGCTCCGGGGAGACGACAGAGAGCTGCCATCATATAAAATGCTCTTTCAGAGGTGAGGTGGCAGTTTAGAAAAGGCTCAGCTGTTTTTCTCTGCAGGAACTTTTCCATCAACCGAGGAACCTGTCCGGATGCTCACAAAAACCACAGCCTACGTTTATTCTGCGGCCACCAGAAGGTTTAGACTCCAGTGGCAGTTCTTCTCGATGGTTCAGGGACAGCTTTAAGGCTCGCTATGGTTCTGGTTTGCTACTCAACTTATACAATCTGTTCATTAAGAATAAGCAAAGCACGAATAGATTCCAGGAAATATGGAACTGAAGGAACTAAAGATCGTTTCTATGCTGACACAAAACAGAAATCTTCCACCTCTCCATGTAACAGCCCCTAAATGTTCTGTATATACTGATGTTCTCTATTATCTCCTGAGAGCTGAAACACATGCAGCACAAACTGTGTGTGTGTGTGTGTGTGTGTGTGTGTGTGTGTGTGTGTGTGTGTGTAGCTGGGTGTGAGTGGGTGTGTTTCTGAGTACCTTGACCCGGCTGACGGCCTCCTGGGCCTGCATCATGCGTATGTTCTTGGAGGGGTTCCTCTCAGACAGCAGCTGAGTGGAGCCCAGGTAGTTAGCAGCAAAGATAATCCCATCAATCAGGTCTTCTGGCTCGCAGGGTCCTGGGACTGGGGCCAGAGAGGGATGGTGATTAACAAGGAGGCAAGATGGAGCGCGTTTAGGCTGAATGGGGTTGAGTGTGAGGTGGAGAGGGTTTTGTAATCACTGCAGTCGTGAAGAAACGGAGCCAGACACTGCAGCTCAGGAGATGCGGCGGCGATAACGGGCCGGATGGGTCTGAGCAGCGAGATGGCTGCTGGCTGGTGGAGGTGCTGAGATTAATCTGTGATATGTAGATGTGGGCTCTCAGACACCCACTCCTGAACACAATGATCTGAAGGAGCCACCGAGGCCCTGACTGACTATCAGGCCCATGACCAGCCTCAGCGTTCATCAGCTGAAACGCCAGAAACTCTCTGACATGCTGGAATGTTAACTTATATGATACCTGACAGACTATTCTGACAACACAACGTAGGTTTTAACAGACATTAGATTTTGGGTAGTGAAACCTGATCTCCAGTTAACTCATCACAGATATCAGTCACTCCTCCTTCTTTGAATTTCAACATGCGATTAGTGAAAATGTGATTTCTAGTTTCAGATAGCGTTTCTGAAATGCCCCGCTAATCAACAAACCATTCAGCATATGTCACTCTAATCAGCATATTCATCCAGGATGTGTCGACCACATCGGTGAAGACGCCAGCAGTGACATTTCCAACGTGTCCAACACGTCAACAAAGCATTTCAGACAATCAGCATCATGATCACTGTAGATATCTACGGTGACATTCTGAGCAACGGAAACTCAACATCTGACGTCTAAAAATTCACTTCTTACTAGTTATAAATCTAACTATATATATATCTTTAATGTATTTGTTACCAGTGCAAATAGAAGTTCCAACAGAAGCATTTAGATTTCTGGAGTTCAATTCTAGAGAATCTGAAATTTGCAATTCTGAGCACATCAGTCAATAATTTCATTTTGACTCGTCACAATTGAATTTTAAACATCTGGAATGTAATTTGTGATGATTGCAGACATCTACAATGAACATTAAGGGTCAGAATAATGCACATTTAAGTCATAAAATGGACTCAAAGCAGCACAAGGACACTGAGCCACTTTACAGCATCATCAGCTGCTTTACTGCACCGGCAGTAATTTCCTAATTTCTTATTGTGTGATTTGCACTTTTTTTTAGCCTATTGTATGTTTAGATTGTATATTTTATAGCTTATTGCATGTTTATCTTAAATATTTTTTAGTATGTATATTTTTTTCAACAGTTTTTTTTAAATGAGGGTTGGAGGGAAAAGCGGTGTCAGTTCTCTGGATGAGTAAACGTGCAGCAGAACCGACAATAAAGTGACTTTGACCAATAAGAACTGAGTTGTAGATATTAATTACAACTGCAGCTCGTCAAAATGGCATCATGGATCCGCTGATGTGGAACTACAGCAGAATCTGAATCGACTTGGGTTTGAGGAGAAGTCACTGATGAAACTTTTCCACTGGTAAGAAATTAATTGTTGATATCAAGACGAAGTTAATCGTCTTTAATTAGACCTGCTAATGGGCAAAATGATATTCTGAACATGTAGCCTCGGAGTTTGAACTCGCTATTGTTGATATCTACAAAACTACAACTGATGAAATGTTAGAAGGACTACAGGCTGTATAACACCTGCACAGAGGCAAAGACGGCGCTGGAAGATTTGTGCATCAGCGAGGAAGCGACTGACGGGAAAGCGATACCTGGACCGGCTCCATGTAATTACAACATTGTGATTTCACCAAACAGGTGTGCAGACAGATTAACTCACCGTCGACAAAGCTGGGGAACGACGCAACCTTCTTTGTTGGCTGGAAGACAAAAAGAGGACAGAGGAGACCAACGCTGGTGAATAGGTTTGCAGTAAACAAAGTGTTTCTATCAAGCTTCACCTCTTCGTCAGTGTGAGGATCGACTGCTTCTGTTCAGCCAACATGTCGCCGCATTAATACAGCTGCACCGCATACCGGACCCATGCAGCTGTATGAAAGCTGTAAGGGCAGGTTTCATTCTCTCATAAAACTGCACAAGTAGTCGTGAGTCCTGTCTGATCCTTCCACAACATGCAGGCTGATCCTCCATTAGCCGGTTTGGCTAGCAGAGGTTTTATTCACAAACATAATAAACAACATGAGCGATCTGATGCCTAAAATTTAGCTTCTCGTAGTTGAATCTTAACAACTGGACCTGCTTGAGTTCCTAGAAGACGTTCCACCTCTCATCCAGGAGGCTTCATCAGCTCTGGGGGGAGTTCCAGGTACTGACATCCTGAAGGAGCCACTAACACCTGAGAAACTCAAGCAGGTCCAGATGTTACGATTCAACTACGAGAACAACCACGACCTGGAGGACTGACAATCTTCACAGACACCTAAAATTCAGATGATTTTTCAATGAAAGCAGCTTCAGAAATCCTCCTGCTGCGACGACGTGTTTCTGTTTTTCACTGTTTCTGTCATTGCCACCGATGCTGCTTCCTTCAGCCAGTAAATGGTGGTTCTCCTCCATGAACAGCAGCTCCTCCCACCGTTTGTTAGGAGATCAGTGACACAAAACAGCTGACATTTACAGAACTTAGTCATGTATGGACTCAAGGTCAAACAAACACAGCCAGAACCTCGTCATAAATTAATAATCATGAATGACATTCCAGAGAAATCCCCTCTGGTGCCGTGAATAGGCTTCATGAATATTCAGAGACGTCTATTCTTCTCCAGCTATGATCTGCTCCACATTCACACGACCGCTGCTGCAAACGCTTCACGTGTGCGCTTTGCTCGAGAGCACTGCGGCGTGGGCGTGGGCGGCAGCAAAGCAGCGTCTCATCGACTTCCCGAATTAACATCTCAGTGGGAGGTGGAGGAGAGCGGATGTGAAGGAGGGAGGAGGACGCTGAGCGCGCTCACAGAGAACCGAGCTGAATCACACAGAATCAAACACTCGGCCCACTGGGTGCGTCGAGCCCTGGAACTGGATCACCAGTTATTCAGAAAGTTTGCTCAAGGACAGGAGATGTGGGAGGAGCCTGTAGAGGAAGCATCTGCCGCCGACATCACGGTGAAAAATGGCTCTCATAAAACGGCGAGCAGACATGCAGCTCAATTACCGGGATGCTACGAAGCCGTAAGCAGAGGACATGAGCTGAAGTTGTAATTACACAATTACTCATTTACTCAAATGGCCACACACACACACACACACACACACACACGGATATCTTCTACAAACAGCCTCACAGCAGATGAAGGCCGATGAAGGGAACGCTGAGGCCGAGGATCAGCAACATCTCACCTCAGGAACGTTGTTGTTCTCCAGGGGAACGTTGAGGTCGGAGCGCTGCTGCTTCCTGGGCTGCTCAGCTCCGTTGCTCACCTGGCAGGTAAACACACAAGAACAGGAGCAGGCGAGCAGGAATTAGAATCGGATGAAAGAAGAGAGTAACGCTGCATAAGGCAAACACATGAAAACACTTCCTGCGTGTTTCTGCTGCTGCCTGTTCGGGCTGCAGAGGTCCCGTTTGGAGTCTCACATGTGGGAGGTTCTGAATGTGTAGGTAGGCCCGGTGTAAACAAGAGAGCGCCGCGCTGCCGAAACCCTCCGGGACGGATAAAACAAACGTCTCTTTTAGCCGTGAAATGCCAGCGTTTGTTTACTGGAAGTGTGAAGCCACAAATAAAATTAAACAAAATCCTCTTAAGGGTGAAGCCTTGTTGTTGAAGAACACGAGCAGTCTGGTTCAGCCCGCCGTCATGTGGGGAAGTTTAGTCTTTTGTCAACAGCCTACTCTTTCCTTTGTCACATGAACATGTACAGATGCAGCTGTAATCACGCAGGAGGAGGAACACGCTGGGCGCTTTCCATTTGGCTCCTCGCTTCCCTCCATGACTCACATTCTACACATACTTTTAGAGAAAGCTGCTGTCAGTGCTGCTCCTCTTATAATATTATTTATATGACAATAAAGCTGTTTCCACAACAGCCCAGTCGCTCCATTTACTGCCCCATTACCAGATCAGGCTGGCCGATCAATAACCAGATTGGAAGTGAGGAGGTGAAGCGGTTCACAGAGGATTCACCAGCGAGCCTCAAACACATTTAACCTGCTGAGCACCGAGCAGGGTCCGGGTGGTTCTGCAGGGTCCAGTCGGTTCTGCAGGGTCCGGGTGGTTCTGGGGTTCTGTTCTTTGCACATTTTCACATTTTTCACTGCAGTACAAAGTTCTGAACCTCTATGGGAACAGCAGCACCATGACTAGGACCCGAGAGAACGCAAAATGTTTAGAAGTTAAAATACCATAAATCATAAAACAGAAAAAAACAAAAGTTTAATTTCTTTGGCTAAACTTTGGCCACAGTTGTTCCTTATGCTGGGGGACAGTAACTCTAAATGCTGTACATGTTTTACTACTTACATACAGTTTAATTTCAGTAAAATCTCGTGATTCGTAGCTGACATTTGGTTCTGCTTTCTAACAGATCGGCACGTCGCTGATGAGTACGGACCTAAAACCAGCTGTTCTTTCTGTTTTTACAGTTTGTGGCTGATGGATGGTGTAATTTTGGCTTCTTTTTTATTTTAAGACGCTTTTTAAACCCAAGGGACTAACCGATCTCGATGGGCCTCGTTCACATTCCAGGTTCATGAAGAGCATCAAGTACGGCAGGAAGTGAGAATTTATCAGAATGGAAACGCTCTTTTATTTCTCTGGATATCCGCTTTGCAACACACAGCTTCAGCTTCATAGTGTATAACTGGCTGAAGTGAACGCTGCAGCCAGTAAATCCTCCTCCACCTCCGTACAGAACCAAAGAAGTGAAATTCAGAGCAGCATCCAGGCTGCTGTAAATCTGTGGAGCCTCCTTTGCAGAAAAACAACTAAACTCAACATAAAGTCCTGATCAGTATTCAGCGCGCTGCCCAACTCAGTTGTGCAAACAACCATTAAATTAATGAGATTCATGTTGTTTGCTGGGATGGAATGCAAAACTATGATGTTCTACAAAACTACACTCATGTGCCGAATCCCGAGCGAGTCCAGTCAGACCATGAAGCGAGTACAAAGAGGCTGCATGGAGGACTTTGTTAATCAATAAATCAGCACCACATCAATTTTAATAAATTAACATTCACGAGGCCGCCGCTGAGAGGAGCAGCAGCTTCTGCAAATGTTTACATGTGAACACAACTGGACGGATTCAGTTTTATTTTTACGCAACCGACCGCCTGATGCTGAGCTCCTCTCACCGCTCATCAAACCAGCATCAAGTTCAAACTGACTGTCTGTATCCTCAGCTCATTAGTCAGCTGTCTTCATCAGCAATATGTTGTTTCTGTAATGCTGAGAGGAAAACTCACAGCATCAGAATATTATAAGGGACAGAATTCACTGCACAAAAAGAGAAAAAAGATTTATCCAGTGTTTAAGATTAGAAATAGAATTTCTCTGATCATATCGATGTGATATATCCGTCTGATGGACACATGTTTAGGTGAAACATATCACAGCATCCTAACTGGGAAAATACTTTATCACTTTGGTCAGTGTTCTTTTTTAATAGAGACTTATTTTTTAATTCAGGTTCCTCTAACACTGCATGGCCTTTAAACATTAATGGATAAAAGGGGACGTTTCTTCTTTCAAGAAAAGTAATAGATGTAAATAAGCTGCATGAAGGGCAGGAAAAAAATGGCTGCTTTTAACACTTTCAGGCATTAAGGAAAGACCTAAAAATCAGCTGCATTAGTTTTTAGTAAAAAGGCAAATTTTCCAAACAGCCCAAAACAAACTTAATTTGACTAAAAAAAGCAGGATATTATGGAAAATGCAGTGTTTAAGGCCTTTGCCTGAGTGATGATCATACCAATAGGGATGGTTAAAACACAGCATCCTTTAAGATCAGACTGCAGCATCGTATTTCCTTCTCAACAGGTTGTAACCACCCTGCTAACATAATCTTCTGGCTCCGTGCTGTGCAGGAAGACTCTTATTACATTTATTGTTGTCCTGTTTCAGGGTCACGCTGAAGCGCAGAACATTTCCTTTGACAACAGAGGACGAACCGACTCATCTCGTCTCAGTCTGCAGCGCACTGTATGTTTTCCCACTTTAATCTGGTTCCAGTGTCTGACCCAGTTCTACAAATGAGCCGCATACAGTGAAGGTAGGAGCACATGTGCACAGTGTGGAGCAGGTGTGCATCAGCATGCTGCCCACAGGAGACCATCCCCGCTCTCCTTTTACCATCTGACTCGTAGGAGACGGGGGGAGCTGTGCATTAATCCGGCTCTGCGAGGGGGACGGAGACGAGGAGGGGGACAGCTCAAGGTAACGTGGAGGAGGTGGAAATGAGGAACAGATTACCTGTAACTCATCTCCAGCTTCTCATCACACAACTCTTTAAATCACTTCCAGTGTCAAGAGTCTCTGATAAACACCCTGAGCCCTGCACCGTGCATCTGCTGTCGTTGTTCCTCCGTTTCGTTTCTTATAACCTTTGTCTGCACCAGCGACTGGAAATCTAAGCAGCCTTCCATTTACATAATGGCAAATATGTTTTTCATTAGGATCAAACCGCATTAGCTTTAAATGTGACCTTTTGGGACGTAATGGAGAACGCTGGCCTTTATTGTTGACTCAAACGGGCCACAGCAGCTACAAAATGAGCTCTGACTTAAACATGTTGTGTTTATAGCAGCGTGGAGCCCCGTGGCTGCAGCACCGTAAATAAGACCGGGCGATTAATCAAATGTTATTGTCAATTACAATTTTGGCTTCCAGCAAAAACAACATAATTAAGACGAAGCTATTTTTGTGCTGTTCTCCGTTTGTGGTATAAATCCTTTTCTTTACAGCGGCGGGCTTCATAAAAGCCCAAATGTTCACCAGCGCCGGGCTGGATCGTGAGCTGGGGTTAGACCGCCGTGAGACAGGTTAGTTTCACCCTGCTGCTGATGTGTTCAGACATTTGGTGTCTGTGCTCGCCGGAGGAGCCGACGGTGCGAAGCTACCATCTGTGGGATTAGGACTGAACGCCTCTAAGTCAGAACCGAGTCTCGACGGGCCTGTTTCGGCTCTCTCTGTTGAAACAGATCTAATGTTTGAGGAAATTCACTGTTAAAAAAAAGAAGATCAAGAAATGCACGATGTCCAAGAAGTCAGGGAGTAATTGTGCTAATTAATCGTGAGCTCATTGTTGACAAAAAATGATTGGTTGAGATTTGTGTCACAGCGGAGCAGCCTGAGTTCATACATGCACCGTCTGAACACGTGGAGACTACGGTGGCCACAAAACACTGTGTGCTCTCAACTACAGGCGTCTGATGCCGGTGGAGGTTGTTAGTAGCAAAGAATAAAACCGAAAAAACATTTTTTAAAAAAGCAATTTAGAAACAGAACTATAGTTTGTACTGCACATAACAGAGTAAACACAGTTACTCTGGACCATATGATTGAGGCCTTGTTTATCTGGATCGTCTTTGGTTTCCACGTAGACGAAGCTACGAGTCACCGAAAACAATCACATCAGAAAACTAAGTGGAGGTTTGGAAAAACTGTCTTTGCATGTCGACAGGAGGAGACGGAGGCTGACATCACAGTGAGCGACTAAAGCGTCATACGTGTGCGACCATGTTTACAGTCTGGCTATGTCCATATATGGACTGACATGTTTACAGTCGATGTTTTCAGTATTTTACTTGTTCTTTCTCTACCACCACATGTAGGAGCAGCTCCACCTCTCTGTCGGTCCAAACAAACCGCCCCTTTATCGGTGAAGGAACAGGAAGTTTTCGTTGTGTTTTTTCCAGGATTCTGATTGGCTAGCATGGCTTTATGCTTCTCGTTACGCTGCCCCCTGTAGGTCTGGCAGCTCATAGCAGCTCTTAACAACATGTTTTTTTATGCGGGTTTGTGTTAATGAAGGATTTTTTGAAAACGATCTGGTGTGAACGATGTTATTTTTGAAAACGTAGATGTGTTTTTGTGAATACCGGCGACGTGTAAACATGGCCTGATCCAAATGTAGCGTGCTAATGCTAACAATGGCACATCTGTTTAGTTCTGCAGCGGTGCTACTGATGAACAATAACAACTGCTGAACAACAGGATCCCCGTATGGCAGGTCCGCCACAGTTCAGGGATTAGATGTGAAACAATAGGGAAGCCTTTCTCACCTGCTCCTGTGCCCATCTCTGCCTGTCTTCAGGGGAGCGTGGATGCACCTTGATGCCCCTCTGGAGCTCGGGGTTGTTGTGGTGTATGGAGGGCAGGTTCAGGGACTTGGGCCTGCTGTCGTGGCGGTGGTGGGCCGGCGGGTAGGGGACCGCGTCAGGTTTGGAATGAGGGTAGTCACTCGGCGCCGGGTCCTGCGCCAGCTCCTCGGGGCTTTGGTCGGTGCCGCTGCTCAGACTGCCCATGCTCATACTCATCTTAATCTCAGCAACTATTTGGTCAATGTCCTCCTCCGCCTCCTCCCCCGTCTCCCCCTCCACCACCAGCACCTTGCGGCTTCGGTACGGAGAGACTCGCACCGAGTTCCCGTTGTCTTCGGGGGCGTAGTAGTCTCCGGTGTAGGCCCTCCCGTGCCTCTCCTCCTCGTCCCCTTCATCGTCTTCCTCCTCGTTGGGGCAGTACTCCTCGCTCTCGGCCTCCTCCTCCTCCTCCTCCCTGTTGGCCCGCCGGGCGTGCAGGCCGTCCTGCATCGGGGGCTGGTGGTGGTGATGGTGGTGGTGGTGGTGGTCCAGGATGGGTTCGGGTCGTCCGTTGTATATCTGCTCATCTGGATCTTGCTCCACCACCTCACAGCGGACCTCCCCCTCTCCCTCACCCCACTCCTCCATCCTGTGCCTCTCCCTTCCTGCCCACTGCTCCTGCCGGCCCTGGCCCTCCTCCCTCCACTCCGGCCGTCCCTCCTCGTCCCCCTCCCTCCACTCTTCCCTCACCTCCTCCTCCTCTTCTCTCCATTCCTCCCTCACCTCCTCCTCCTCCTCCTCCTCTCTCCACTCCTCCCTCACCGCCCCCTCCCCCTCGTCGTCTTCCACCCACTCTTCCTCTCGCGCCTCCCCCTCGCCCTCGCCCTCCTCGGTCCAGCCCTCCACGGCCTCCTGGCATTCGTCGGTGTGGGAGCCGTCCAGCTGCATGCCGGTGCCGGTGCAGTCCCCCTGGCCGTGGCCGGTGCCGTGGCCGTGGCCGTGGCCGTGGTTGCAGTTCCCCTGGCTGCTGCAGTCCATTCCCTCCAGGTAGCTGTCGTCCTCTGGGCAGTAGCGGATGTAGTAAGTCACGCCTTCATCCTCCTCTGCCAGTCCTGAAGGGATTTAGAACCACCAACAGACATGTTTCTTAATATTTATGGCCTGTGTATTAAAGTCCCAATTCTTGCTGAACCAGTGTTTTATGAGGGTATTTCAAAAGGTTCTCGGTCTCACCTGGAAACAAGGCTGTGTCACCCATTTGGGGCATAACCGTATATTGTACAACCACATATCACTGTCCCCAGAAACTCAAATGTTTGTCGTTATTTCTGTGCTAGAAGAGGAAAGCTTCAAGCTGCCTTGTTCAGAGACCGAGCCTCTGTCCACACAGCCCAGGTGGTAGAAGCAGCCAAATGTGGCCTTGAACTGTTGCTCCACGCACCTGGACTCACCTGACCTGACTTCTGTCTGTCTCCCAAACTGTCTGGTTGCCATGGTCAGCGTGAAGATGTTGTCAAGCTGCTGAGGAGCATCTGAAGGCTCCAGATATGACCCTGTACTAGGAGGGAGCCTGTAGCTCGGACAGCGATGGACCAAGTTAAAGGAGATTATTTTGAAGAATAATGCAAGAATTCAGTCTTGTGTTCTGGTGGGTTTGGAAGTAGTCTTGTATATTCACCACCACTGATTAAGCTGACTGATCTCACCATGGTGGACAGCTAAGTTTGTTTCCATGTGGGACTTTATTCAAACTGCTCCGTGTATCAGCCATGTTAGAGGCTGTTAGTCTGTAATACCTCAACTATTACTGATAGAAAACCAGCAATTCCTGTCCAGACAGTTATGGTCCCCAGAGGATGAATCCTAATGACGCTGGTGTTCCTCTGACGTCCTCCGGTCCGCCATGAGGCTGACATTTGAGCTTCTTAGTGAAATGTCTCAATAATGACGACATTGGATGGAGTGTAAAGAAATCTGGTCCTGACATTTATGTGTTTTCTTCAACATGATTTGTCACAACTTTTGTGATGAACTCATATTTTATCAAGCACCCTTTGATTTATGAGTATCAGCAAAAAAAAGCGCCACCACGCTGCTTAGCTTTTTGTGCTTCTTTGCAAACATCAGCATATGAGCTACATAACAGACTGAACAAAGAGTCAGCACTGATCATATCTTCTGGCTCAACATCAGCACATTAGCGTTGTTAATTAGGATGTTGACTTTAGTATTAAACCTAAAGTACTGTATGCTAACAACAGAGCTTATAGCACGGCTTAGTCCTGCTGGAGTATCACACCTAAATGACAACTGATGGGATTTAAATAACTCATTTATCCTCTTTATATACGTCCAGTGGTGTTAAGTTGCTTTGAGTTTGTCATTCAACGTCTTTCCTGCTTAGAAGACATGAAGAACCAGATCAGTGCTACACATGAATCTACTCTGTTTGTCCCTATAAAAGAAAATCAAACCAAGAAGCAGAACTAATCAGACATCACACTCACCATCATCGTAGTCTTCCTCTTCGTCCGAGGTGTTGTTGATGTAGTCAGAGCTGGAGTCGTCGTCCAGGCTGTCGGCTCCACCGTGGAAGTCCGCCTGGTCCTGGTCATCTGGGTCGTGGTTATGTTCAGGTGTGGACGGTGTCGCCGGCCGCTGATCCTCAACTTCTGCATCTGCTTGGCTGCCGTACCGCTTCACCTCCACCTCAGCATCTGCATCCGCCTCCGGATGATGATCTGGATGATGACTGCGACCAGCGTCTTGAGACTTGGGAGACGAGTATTGTGCCTTACAGGAGTGGGGTTTGGAATCATGTGACTCTTTGGGGTAGCGCAGTGGGCGTTGGCGTGCGGGGAGGGCTTTAAGGTCACATGACTCCGTAGGATGAGGGGCGGGACAGGAGGCGGGGCCCGGAGCAGCCATACTGTTTCCTCCGCTGGTCCCGGGCCTCTTCCTTTGAGCCATGATTGGCGGCTTACAAGCCATGCATTGTTATTGGCTTTATCCTGTGAGACAGAGAAACACAGGAGCACAGCTTTAGAGCAACATCAAACACAAGATTTTAAGCTTTTAAAACACACACAACCATGTGTTTGTGTGTTTTAGCAGGCCAGGATAAAAAGGTGCCTCAGAATCTTCATATCCCAGATTTATCAGGCACACAGCTCCCCCATACAAACACTCCCTCCTGCATTTCCTCAGTATCTGACAGTCTCATATATTCCTGTAATTGAGAAAGACAATCTCTGGTTTACCTTATCCTCATTCAGAGGAACATTTTTGTGCTTGCTTTGCACATTTTTGGCTTCAAATTCACCCCAGTGGGCTCCGTCAGTCCCTCGGCTCAGCTTTGTGACAGTAAACACAAAGAGACGAGCCTTTCTAAGCACACGAACCGAGAGGGACACCGCCGGACAAAGAATCAATAGTTAAATCAAGGTCATCCCCACATAGGTGCCGCACATGTGCACTGATACCACTTCAGATGATCAATCAATCGAGACGTTATCGATTCCTTTGTGGCTCACGAGTTGAGCATCACAGGAGACGATGAGGACTGTTCCTGTCCAAGACCTGGTTAAGTGGTGCAGATGAGGAGACAGCAACACGTCCTCTCATAAAAGACTCATAACCTGAATCAACAGCGCTGCTCACCTATGGATTTCCCCCTCAAGGAGACATCTACTGAAAAGAGCATAAATCAGTGTGAGAGCAACCAGCATTTCTCACTACAGTCCTTTTGTAGCTGAAAGGTGTTGACAGTGTTTATATGTAGTAAAGAGGTTTCTCCTCCGTCAGTATTTATGTTATTTATTTATGAATGTGTTTTCTCTTTTCAGACGTAAAGATCTTCAGGTGGCTTATATACAAACCTGTAGGCCGACTCAGAAATACAAAGAAGCTGCCATGACTACAACCACATACATTAAATGTCGCATCAGCTCTGAAAGAGGCTGAATAAAAGGTATGTGCAACAAAATGTGCGTGCACGGTGCAGCGGTTCTGATCCGAGGCCAAGCCTTTTAGAAAACGGATTAAGAAGGTTTTGTAGCACAGATTATATTTATATTGAGAGCAACCGAGCAGCCAAACAATTCCAAGTGAAGACAAATACATGCAGCGTTACGATTATTCTCCCAAAAACAGAAACACAAGTTATTAAAAAGACATCAGAACAGGACAGAAGCATCCCATAAATTATGAAGGACGTAAAGAAGCTCGCTGAGACGAGCATCGACACACTAAAACGGATGGATCGCACAATAAAAGCCTCAGGATCACATTTCTGCTGCCGTCGCAGCGTTTTAACAACAACAATAAAAGTTTAGTTTGCGTTCTCTGCGCCCTTTGTGTCCTGCCATCCATTTTGTCACTCTCCACTCTGTTGTTCCATCCAGTTGCCATGAACAACTGCCCTCAGAGGGGTGTTGGTGCAGCTTTCCCCCATTTTCCTTCAACCATAATTACATTTTCCATCACCAGTGATTATACCGGTTAATTAGCTCTGCACAACCTGCCGCAAACACATCTCCTCTGCAACACAAACACAGAGAGCAGCACACACAGACACACATGCATTCAGCTGGTTGTTCCTCAGGTCGCCACGCCGGAGTGACCCGGGCTGAAGACGTCCACTGAGCAGTAGCAGGTTAGTGATCACACGGTATCTGCAAATGCACCCACAGACGCATGCACACACCTGATGAAACGCAGCAACACGTTCATCTAATGAAGCCTTCCTGTTGACAGCTGAGAAAAGCTTTTCACAGGTTTTTTTTCTCCAATGACTTAAAAGAAAACCTTGTTAACATCCAGGAAGCGATGTGCTGCCTGCGTCTCTTACCTGCAGTCCTGAGCGGGGGAGCGTTACACAATAGCACCGCGATCTGTTGGAACAACCACCCCATCCTCCCTCCTTCCCTCGTGCTGCTCCTCGCTCCTCCCATCCCCCACCAGCTGCTACACAGCATGTACCTTTGTGACTCCACCCTCCCTGCTCCCTTACATCCCAGCATCGTCCCATCTGAGCTCAGCCCCGCCTCGCCCAATCCCCCGGAGCCGAGGGGAAGGATTGGTAACTAGGGGTAACTGCATCCCCCGGGGACCGATACCCTCCAGACCTTCTCTTTGTTAGATTCACAAGTTGCCTTTTTTCTGCTGTGCTGCTGCCTGACTCTTCATATTTTTTTGATTAGTTGCACTGATCCTAACTGACAGTATTACTGCCGTATATGTTTTGGAAACCCTGTAAGTCCCCAGCCAGGTGGCTTTTCCCAAATCTGCTTTGTCTGGCATGTATTTGACTGTTTACTCAATTTGCATGCGTTTGTACAGGAAGAGTAAATCCATCATAACAAGTCACATGAAGGATTTATCCCACCTGTTTGCTACCATTAGTGGATTTAATCACAGCACGTAGCACATCTTTGCTTTAGACGGAGGAGTCTCTCTCCTATGATCGTCCAGTTTGTTCATCTTTTTGATTCCTTAAAAACACAAAACCTTAAACTGCAAAGAGGAAAATCATCTCCAGCATATCTGTGAAGTTTTGGCTTTGGTTTCTTTCTGTGTTTCAGCTTCCAGGGGTCACTTTCACATGAGCCTCACTACCTTCTTACTTACAAGCAGAGTCTCAATTACTACTAAAGTTTGACTTTAATGCGTAAATGAACTTCCACTACATTCAAACCTTTGTCACACAAGTTAGCACAAAGTTAAATAAGCTTTTCAGCACCTGGTAAATCTGTCTGTATACTGATGTTTTAAATCAAAGATCAAGGTGCCGTTCTCACACAGTATCAGTGCATTATGTGTTAACCAGCAGTTATCGGTTATCCACAGCCGACGGAGAGGCCACGGCCACCAGGACTGTGGAGGAGAGACATCAGAAAAGCTTCAGATGCTTCAGGTAAACAGGAAACGTCTTTTGTGTAATTACTCTCACTGTCAGAAACAGGACACAAAACTGAATATCCTGGATTGTACACGACGAGCAGATCAGGAGAACATTGGCTTCAGAGGCTCAGAGGTCTGAATCAGACGTCCACAGTTGCTGAGCAGCTTTAACAAGTGATCGGAAACCAACGGCTTCGCTTTGGAGCGTTTACATTTTTGTTTCACTGTCGAGTCAACAGTCAACAGCCAGGTTTTCCCGTCTAGTTTCCCATCCTGCTGATTAAAGGATGATATAGTTGTGAGGAGGTCAGGCCCTGCTGCCCTCGGCCCTGATGCCCTCGGCCCTGCTGCCCTCGGCCCTGATGGCCTCGCCCCTGCTGCCCTCGGCCCTGATGCCCTCGGCCCTGCTGCCCTCGACCCTGCTGCCCTCGGCCCCGCTGCCCTCGGCCCCGCTGCCCTCAGCCACCGGTCAGCAGTCAGGTGCTCTGTGGCCACACAGGAAGCTCCGGCTAACCCGACACAGCAGCTGCTGAACCGCCGAAGGAGGCGATCAGCGAGGAAACCCTCCTCTCTGAATCAGGGAGTGTGGTCTCTCTACATTTTTCACTTCAACATTTTCCATTCCTCTGTGACAAGCGTAACACCACGAGTGAGACCAAGCCAGAGCTCTGCAGAGACGACGGCAATTGTTTTCAATCACATTCTAAATTTGCTCTAAGATTAAATGGATTGGTGGTGGCATGAAAACGACTGGCTGGTTCCCTTTGTTTGTCTCTCTGCAGCGATGTCTGAAGGTAAATCCAGACTACTGATGTGGACGTATGGTTCTGCTCTCTGCAGTCAGTCGGGCCTCAGCTCTCTTCTTTGTAGTTGGTGCAACTTTAAACATTCAATAAGTTTCACCAAACGTTGGTTAGAGGCCATGTGACGGCTTTTAGCTTCTGTCAACAGAAACTGAAACCTGCTTCGACCAGGCCTGTTATCTAATTTACCCAAAACTATCATTTGTTTTCATATCTCAGACTTCTAGGGTTTCTCCTGAACATTACTGACACACACTGCAGACACATTCTTCAGTACGTAGCGTGTTATGGACTGAATGACAAACTCACGAACCACAGATGTTTATCTGACGGCTTGTAGGAGTCAGTAAAGTAATAACGGCTGATAACGGGATAAATTTGCACTTTTTAAAATGTAATGGG